CCTTCCCGCCACGCCGGAGCGGGGGGCAGCCCGCCGGGGGAGCTCCTCAGCCGGCCGGCACCGAGGAGAGGAGAGGGCAGCCCGCTCCCCGCCTCCTCCGCCTCGTGTCTCCCCCCCAGCCTGGGTGCAATCCAACCCTCGAACAGCACTTTTCCCTCTGGGGCTTGCGTTGTACAGGGGCTGTCTGGAAAAAGCCGTGCCGCCGAAAGCACGGCGTTTGTGGGGCGCTCGGTACGTGGGCCTTGCGGGTCTGTGTAGTGTGTGGTACCCTGCTCCCAACAGCGCGGAGCTGCCCAAAACCGGCGGAGGAGAAACAGCCCTTCTCCTTCTCTGTTAGAGAGAGGCCGCGGAGCAGAACATATGGGTGCTGCTTTGATTGCTCCTCTGCGAGATGAGTGTGCATATTTGCTTTTAAAGGACTAGCAGAAACTCCCTCGGTTATCTAGCTGCAGCCCTTGTTATTAAAAACCTAATTTCACTTAATCCCCTAATAAATTTTTTTATATTAAAAGTAGGTACCTTTTGCACCTGTTCTATTCAGTGGACTAGGCTAGACCTTCATTGTTTTGATGTTTTTGATCTGTGTACTGATTCTAAATTTATGGCAAAAATTCTAATTCATGGCATTTCTGTGCACCTTTGTTGCTGTGCTGGCACTGTGCTTCACCTTAATAGCTTTTTTCCTTCCACAGTTTTTACTCACTCTGCAGTATTTATAGGTGGCATTCATATCTCTCATCTTTCGATCTGCTAGGCTAAGAAAAGCTGGTTTTGTTTCCTACTCCCAACATGCATTTTTCCTCCAGAGCATTCTAGTAGCTGTTATGTTCAAACTGAAATGGTGCAGGTATCTCTTAACACAAATAGCCCCATGAGATCTCTGAGTGTCTCGAAAATGACATAATACTTCCATATTTTTGCTTGATGCTTTTCCCGATGCCGCCTTTGGCTGCCTCAAATTGTTTTCTTGTGGTTAGGCAAACCATTCAGGTTCTTCTCTCCAGTCATTTCTAATTGATGAACTCATATCTGAAGTTCCTGATATTAATCTTGAAATATGTGGCCTTACTATGTAGTTTTAATGTGGCACTATTTAATTTTAGACCTCTTGAGATCTCTGCCAGCTTTGTATCTCTAGTAACTTTAATCAGCATGTTCTCACTTGTGCCAGAATAGGTAATGTTAAATTTGAGTTTTGAGCATAATCTTTCCTTGAGCCTGGTTAATAAGTTGTCTAATTCATTGCATTTAATTTAAGTAGGAAAATCATAAAACTTTCTTCGTAATATAAATAATGAAAAAGTTTGTTTTTCACTGCCTTGCCTTTATTAGCGCTCAGAAGAAATTTGATGACCATTACTTGAGTTGCTATTTCTTGATTGTTTTAAGAAAATAAGTAAAGTTCTGGGGCTGGGGAGAGGTGGAAAACAGACAGAAATGTGTTATGTCCAACACCAAAAAGTAAGGCTCTAAATTACCTCTTATTTTCTGGCTAACTTTTTGAGAGAAATAACTGCCACAATTTGGAAGATCCCTTATCCTGCACCCCATCTCCTTGAGACTTCAGAAAGAAAAAAAGCAGATGGGCCTGACATACAGAGCTCTTGTGCATTTGGGTTTTGTCATACTGAGTCTACAGTTGGGTCTAAGAATTGGGGAGTATGTCACAGAAGTGGTTCTGTTAGAACTGAAAGTGGTATTTGTCTTCCAGTGTTTTATACTGGTTTATTGAGGAGGGGTGGAAAAGCCCTAAAAAACTACCTATGGAAAAAAAGGCTTGATTTTTAATGAGTCTGAGACACAAAGCCAGAAGGAACTGAATCTTTCAGGCTGAAGTTGTTAGGATCACAATACCTATAGTGAAAAAGGCCCACACAGCAAGTGGAATTTACTTTTTGTGCAGAGTTAGATTGCAATTACTGATGTAAAACATCAGTTAAGCCTGTCTCTTTTTTTAGTTATTGTTGTATAAACAAGTGGTTGCGTTGTGATGCTTTCTCCAATGAACAGGATTTTGTTTTGATGTTCACACTCTGCCAGTTAATCCAGGCATAATGTTTTGTTTAAGATTCTCTTAACTTATTCCGCACGCTCCCTTAAGGTCTTTTTAAAACTCATTTCGAAATATAGGTTAAACACATTCTAGCAGTATTTAAAGTTGATTCAAGGAGTTTTTAAAAGAAAATGTAGAGGATAGTGTTCTTCAGGAGAACCTTTCCAACTGCACTAGTGTGTGAGCTGTAAGCTGAACTGGGTAACATGTTGAAGTGGGTATTGCATTTCAGTCCACTAGTGTATTGGGTTACTGTTAGATGCCAATAGCTATGTAGTTTACTCCTCCT